GCTTGTTACAGTCGATTCCAAACAAATGCCGAATTTGGCTTCTGGTCTCGACGTTATGTCTCAAAAAGAAAGTGTCATCGAATTGAATTCGTCCTCCATTGAGAAAGTATCTGTTAAAGGATCTTCAACAACGCAAGGTGTTGTAATGATCCAAAGTCGAGATAATACAAGTGTATTCACCTACAAATGCGAAAAGTGTAGTAAAATGTTTGGTATCATATTTTTTGTATCATGTCTATTACACTGTTAACATATAGTCTTTGCAATAAATTAAATTAAATTAAATTAATTAAATTAAATTATGTTAGTTAAAAATTATGGTTTGTTACGATTTTAAATAAGTAAACTTGAAAATATACGTAAACAAAAAAATTTAACCGTGAGAAATCCAAAAAGAATTTAGGGAACGTTACAAGAAAATCAATTGAAAAATACATCTAAAGTGTTTGAGAGTTCTATCTAAAAAATAGGGAAATGCTCTGTCACTTTACTTTAAATACGATGCGTCACTACGGCTCTGAATGTTAAGATGTTGAACTATTATAAATATTCATTTAAATAAATCATTTAAATAAATTAATTTCAGAAAATAAATACTTCAACATCTTAACATTCAGATCATACTGGCGCTACGTATTTAAAGCATTTAACATAAATAATTTTGTTTCCAATCTTATTGTGAATATTCTATCAATCTCAAGTTCCGTAATACTTGAATCAACAGTTAAAAATAATGGATAAAGGTACAAAAAAATATGAATTTAAACATTGCGATGAGATTTATGTAGTCCATGTTTAATATTTTTAGAGCTTTGGACATGCTTGTATTATTTCAACAGTTCCATCTTATGTTATTATTTCCACATTTGTTTTTTAACAATTATCTTCAATTATATTAAAGATGAACACATTCCCTCCTCACAAGCTTTGAAACGACGTAATAGTAAAAGACATACTGAAGATAAACCCTACCAATGCGAAACGTGTGGTAAAATATTTCAACGGAAATGGTATTTACGTCATCATTTGATGATTCATACAGGTGTAAAACCTTATAAATGCGAGATTTGTGAAAAAAGATTTACGTGAGTAAAAAAGTTATAAAAATATTAAATAATCATATTACTTAAATTAATGGTTAACAAATAATAAATATTTTGCAGTCAGAAATCAAGTCTAAACAGACACAACAGGAAAATGCATTTCAATAAAGTTTGTAACGTTCGTAAGAATGATTTTGATAATAAACAGGATATGATTAATCATTTAGTCATGAAGCAATCTGACATTGATGAAAGACCCTATAAATGTAAGACATGTTCAGCTACATTTAAACGTTCAGAACACCTTAAAAAACATACAATAATACATACAGGAGAGAGACCATATATTTGCGAGGTATGTGCTGCAAAATTATTGTTACTATTTTTTCTAATTATATCTCATTCGATTGTGGTTATTTTTACATTTTTGTAATTATAAATGTGCTGTATTTTAGATTTGCAACAAAGCTTTTACTTGTAGAAGTAACCTAAACAAGCACAAATATACACATAGCGATATAAAGCCGCATAAATGTTCGATATGTAGCAGAAGCTTCACGGAAAAAAAACAACTTCTTGCACACATGCAAAAGGTCATTCATGATATAATTTAATTCATTAGCACATTCACATTATTTTTCTATTTTTGTTATATATTCATAACGTATTATAATAGACTGTTGTAATGTACTACAATACATTTGATATATAAGAGAGATTATTTCTTTTAGGGTCACATTAGTGATACCGTAGTAAAGGACTAACCGCGACTAACAGAATAGTCCATCAAGGCAATAATTATGACTATTCTTAATAATAATAATAAACCTATAATGAAAGAAATTGAGGATAAAGATTTTTACGAGAGAGTTTTCCTATAAATGCAAGTTTTCTAGGAGATACAATTGAACGCTGTCAGATACAGAATCACCGACGTGTAAAGTTTAAGGTGTTCACAATGCATTCTGAAGACGAATCCGATTCATAAATTAACTTTTATAATTATTTACTTTAATTATTTTTGTTGAATTTAAGGTAATATACCCGCGAATTAAAAACAGAATTTCTTGAAATTGATAGACATATTATATTGTATTAGTAGATGTTATGCAATTGAAATGAGATTGTGATTTCAATACTAAGATGTAAGCAATTGAATGCATCTTATACGTGTCGCTTATACAAAATTAATGAAAATGTGATATTTATTTTTGTTAAGATCTAAACTAACAGTGATGTGTTAATAAAACACGATCATGCGAAGAAAAAACATTAAATGTATATTATAAAAAAAATATCGTAATTTTTTAGTACTTAGTTTGCAAAATAGATTTGTGAAAAGAATTTAATTTTAATAAATTCTGTAAACATTTGTCAATCTGAAATGTGAATCCAAATAAAAAGCAGTGAACTACGTTAATCTATCTACGTGGCTGATCTCGATTTTGACAAAAAAATAATTTGTTTAAAATAGCACTTCTTATACTGCTAATTTTACTTTTAAAATCGTGTCTAAAACACATGTGTACTTCTGGGGTTTTTTTGGTTGCTGATCATAACGATTCTGACATAAGAATTAGAAAATTCAAAATACTTGTATGACAGATGCATATATAACTGTGACTTGCTCATACAAATTCTTAATCTTTTTAAAATTCATATATATTGAAAAAAAAATATATATATATATAAACTTAAAAATGTATAAGTATATATATATTTTTTAATTTTTAAAATTTCTTCAGGAA